TTGCTGTGTCTTTGGCCACCACACCAAAGCTGCGTATGTTATTATGGGTCTCACCACCATGTTATAAATCCAATATACCATGTCTGGTTTTAACCCCCATTTTTTTTCAAAGGATCGCCTTGCCATCATTAGTACTCGATACTTTGCTTTCGATACTTTACTCATATGGGTACTACTTTTGTTTCGATACTACTACCTTTCGTTTCAATATTTTACTAGTGTTAACTTTACAATACGAACAAAAAGTATATTGTAGGATCACTTTATGGTATGATATGTCGGCGTACCCTATGACGTTTTTTTTTGTGTGTTCTGTACTCTTTCCGATATCGATATCGATACTTTTGTTCCGATACCCTTTCGATACTGGTATCGATAATTTGGTTCCGATACTTCTTTCGATACCAGTATCGATACTGGTATCGCAACATCCCTGCTGATTCTTTAGCAATAATCCACGGCATAATAAACAATCGGCAGGCCCACTCTCCGCTGATCGCATACAAATATTATACTAAGAAAATTTGACCTTGACGACGCCATTCGGGGGTCTTAGTCAGGGTCGGATTAAAGCGTATTTAAAGGTTTTGTAATAAAATAAGGTATTGATAGGCAGGATCGTATTAAAACAAAAAAGCTTCACAGATTGTGCCAAATAATTAGCTTGTTTTTATTGATGGTCTTAAAATTTCTATTAATATTTTTAAAGTGAAATATATGAGCAGCCTTAAATATAACTTAGGACCGATTCCACCGTTGTGTTAAACGAAGTTTAAAATTACATTTTTACATTAACAATGTCATTTTAATCTCCGTTTAACACAACGGTGGAATCGACCCTTAATAACATATATTTATGGAAATCGGGGACAAGGAGCGTCAAATGTTATCTCGGAATTAATTAAATCTAAAAAAAAAAAAATACAAACGCCGGATTTAGTGATAAATAATTCAAAATTGTGATGAAAAATTATTTCAATTTTTGTTATTAAACATACAAAACTATTATTTGACATTTTTAAATTGCCAAAAATATCTTTATTTGCTTTTTTTGTATGCTTTATAATAACAATACATGGAGCTTATATTGAAGTCTTCGTGTGTTAAGGCATATTGTGTACATACATCGCAACGTTGAATTTTAAGACATTTTTTTTATTAAAAATCCGCATATATAATAAAATTTTCTTAAAAAATATTAATATTTTGTGCATGCAATTCATTAATATGCTTGTTTATATTTACATTTTCGACAATATTGCCACCATTACACGCGATTTTGGAAAATGACTCATCCTTACTAGTCCTACGAATTTCATGTAGCCTTACAAGTAAAGCATCCCCACCTGTTTCGCAGTTTTCAGTTCCAGAATGTAATAAATTTAAACATTGCAATTTTTTGGACGTCCTTTGAATTTGGACCGATGTAGGGTTTACACAGTTACCATCATGGAGGAAGGATAATTAAGAGTTGCGATTCCTCACAGAAATTTGGCAGCATGTTTACCTTCAGCGACATATGGAATAGTTTTGTACAATTAATACTCAGTCGGTAATATAGAAAGATGTAAGGCTATTTTAGCTTGAAAATTGGCGGGCTTTTAAATTTACTTCGACAAAATATAAGAAGTTTACAATTTTTAATAGCACATGATTTTGATTGTGACTCATTACTTATTTATTACTTATAATTTCTTTAATGGCTAATTAAGATTTTCTTGCTTTTTGTAATGAAAATACTTTAGATTTATCAAGATTATGAAGCTTTGTTATTCGCATATCTAGAATAATTATCAAAACGAATATCAGAATTAAATTTTTGTTAAGCATTTCAATATTTGGGAATAACACAATTACGATTAATATGCATTTTTTTTTTTCAGAAAAAAAAATTATTCCATACAAAAAATTCTGCTTGTTGAAGAAAATTACAAGAAAAAGTTTCCTTTTAAAGTTATGAAGGAAAACCGAAAGGAAAACTGTGACTTTTCTTCGTAAAATCAATAAGATAATACAGATTTTTTCCTTTTGTCAATTTTAAGTTTCTTCATTTATTAAGACCATGTACACCTGACCTAACATATTAATATAGTAAACCTATTTTTTCGTCAAACAGAATTTTTTTATAATGACTTTTTCCTTAAAATAAAAATAAAGATTTTCCATTTTGTCAACTCCATACGGGAGATGTTTAAAATATAACATTTTACTTTAAATCTTAATAATATACCTACATAAGTAAATATAAATTGACGCTAAACTTTACGTGACGTTAACTAGGCACCTACCTACATCTTACTAATAGCTTTATAACTGACAAACTGACTCATAAACTAGGATTTTTTTAAAAGTATACCATACATACCTAATAAGATATTTAAAAAACCGAAAAAATCTTTTAATACAGTTTATTCATATAGTTTTTTGCTGCACAACTTTGCCCAGACATAGTAAAACACTTAAAAGTTAACAAATTAACACTGGAAAACAACTACTATATAAAAAATGTCAAAAAATATCTATAATTCTAAAAAAATAACAATAACTACATAATACAAACATCACAAACAAAATAAATTTAAGATACACGCTACTGATTCCGTGCTACTGCAACTTGTTTGTTTTTGTCGATATAAACGACGAAAGTGACGCCACGCTTGATTGAGAGGTTGGACCCCAAAATGGCTGTGTGCGCGTAGATGTGCGCGTAGCGTTGCCACCAAGACAAGTTAGCCTGCCGATTGTTTATTATGCCGTGAATAAACTGTGACTCCAAAAATAATATTCACTGACACTGACAGCAGCAAGCAAAATATCAGGTGCGTTTTAATCATCCGCTTCTGCTTCCGGAATTGTCGGTTTAGTTGTTTTAACCTGTCAGATTAAAACAAGAAAACCGACAATTCCGAAGCAGAAGCGGATGATTAAAACGCACCTATTAAAAATATTGCGCCAAGATGTAGGCAACTCGTAATACGGGATCAAAATGGTGGAGTTTTCTATCTCCTTTTAAAAGGCACTCAGAAAGCTACGCAGTGCGACCAATCTCCGTATATTAAAAGAGAATCAAAGTATGTGCAAAATTCAGATATCTTGTTAGCATTATGACCCACATACTTTGATTTTCTTTTACTATACGGAGAATGGTCACACTGCGCAGCTTTCTGAGTGCCTTTTAAAAGGAGATAGAAAACTCCGCCATTTTGATCCCTTATTACGTGTTGCCTACATCTTGGCGCAATATTTTTAATAGGTGCGTTTTAATCATCCGCTTTTGATTCGGAATTGTCGGTTTTCTTGTTTTAATCTGACAGATTAAAACGACTAAACCGACAATTCCGGAAGCAGAAGCGGATGATTAAAACGCACCTGATATTTTGCTTGATGCTGTTAGTGTCAGTGAATATTATTTTTGGAGTCACAGTTTATTGCTGAAGAATCAGTTAGCTTACTCGAAGCAGTTGAAAGTTCCAAAATAACATCCACTCCAGGGATACAAATTCAGGATACGCAGAAGACTGCTGTTTTATTATAGGCGGTTGTCATATATTGTATTATCCGAGTTGCGCAGTGTATAAACCGGAACATTGAGATCAAAAGTGCCGACGCAGAGTGAGCGATCTGATTCTTCAGCTATAAACTGTGGCATAGGAATCAAAATGGCCGCGCCCTATGTTGGGCGTGTCGGACCTCTCTCTTGCACCGTATAGTAATCAAAGTATGTGATTACAACACATAAAATTTATTGGAGATGTTTGCATTAAATTTGTTTGAGCTCTTTTACATTAAAATAGTATATTATGCCTAGAAGTCAATCTAGGAACTTGAAAATCAATCTTATAGAACAATTCAGAGCTATCAACTTTATTATTTAAGAGTTTATGTAAGTATAGAACAGAACCCTGCATCCTACGTTTTTCTAAGGAAAAAAAATCTAAATTATTTAATAGAATATCGTAGTCCATACCTTTAATAGGATAAACTCCATCAATTTTAAATTGTAAAAATTTTGAGAAACCTGTTTTGAACTTTCTCAATCACTAGCATATACTGAAAATATATGGGACTCCAAATTAAAGATCCGTATTTTAATTTAGATCTAACCAAGCTAAAGTAGAGAGATTTTAAAGTCGAAATATTTCTAAAGTTTCTACAGTTTCTCCAAATGAATCCATAGGCACGGTAAGCTGAATTAACTATTTGGTTAATATGATTATTAAACGTTAATTGGCTATCAAAAATAGTTCCAAGATCCCTGATATTATCATTTTTCAGTACGTTCCAATGTTACATTGTTAATCGAACATGGGTTTGCGTGAAAAAGTTATTACTTTATATTTATTAATATTAAAATTTAATCTATTTTTGAGGCACCAATTTTCTAAATAAATCAGCTGAATCTGTAATACCACACAATCATAAAAAGTAAAAATAAAAGCGTATAATTTGAAGTCATCAGCGAATATTAATTGCTTAGTATTAATTTCATCACACAGGTCATTAATAAATAATAGAAAAAGCAAGGGGCCTAAATTAGATCCCTAGCTGCTATATAGATACTTGGAGCAGAATCCGTTTAACAAATTGCTTTCTTTGGTATAGATAAGATCTAAATAATAAAAGGTACATATCATTGAAGCCTAAGCATTGTAGCTTTTTAAGAAGTATTACATGACTAATTTTGTCGAAAGCCTTGGAGAAATCAGTATACACCGCATCAACCTGACCTCTTCCGTTTAATGATTCACATTCACAGGTTTTCATTTAAATATAAAAATAAATTGCGATTATATAATTTCCGGGAAAACCTGTAGTATTAAAGTAATAAAGGTAAAATTTTTAGTAGCCTACACTATATACATATTTCTATTTCAATCCAATATCTACAATAGCATTTTCTGACCTGAAAAGTAGTTGAAGTACAAGGAACAAACTAAGATATGGTTGCATTAAATTTTTTTTTTAATTAACGCACTCCCTTTAGAATAAAAATGCAATGATTCGATAGAAGAAGCAGCTACTTTTTATTATCAATTCGTACAATAAATTTATTGACAAAAATTTCAACAATATTTTCATTATTTCCAATTTCCCATGCTCAGAAAATACCGAAAATATACAAAAAAAATCGAAGTCTACTAGGTAGATTTTATTCGTTGCCAAATTTTTCTGCGCCTGTTCCTAATCTCTGAACTCACGGTCAAATCTAGTCGATTTTTTGGTCACTTGGTATCTACTGTGTTTCCAAACAAAACAATTAAAATGCAGTTTCATATTTTTAAATCTGACTTTATACTCATTGTATAAAAATTATCCTTCAAAATTACCCTGTAGAAAACCAGTACAAGTTTAACTCACTGCTAGCAGAGATTAGTTGACTTATTGTTAGCTGAGTAACTTTTACTGTCAGCTTCAGTTTTACCTTATTTTTAAATGACTTGCAATGAGTTGGTGAGTGTTTAGTCTTGTACTAAACACTCTTACTGGTAACTAGGAAATATTATTACTGTAGCTGGTAATTATGAATTTCTGAAAGCTGCGAAGCCTAAAGTATTGGAGCCTAACTGTATGCAAACGTGAACTTGACTTACTAAGCCATACAAATATTGAATTACTGGTAGGATTTTAGACTCTTTGACGTACTGCCAACTTACTGCTGGAAGTAATAAATTTACCTAATGTGAGCTGAGTAATCAGACTTAATGTCAGTTTTACCTTATTTTTAAATGAGATGTGAAGTTTGACTTACAAGAATGATGTGAAGCTTGACTTACTAACCCTTATAAATATTGAATTAGTGGTAAAGTTTTTAGTCCCTTAGGCTTACTGCTAGTAGTAATAAAATGACTCAATGTGAGCTGAGTAACAGCTTTTACCTTATTTTTAAATGAACTGTTAAGCTTGACGTACAAATATTTGATGAGTGTTTAGTCTTGAATTAATAAGCCATATGAAAATTGAATTACTGATAAGAAAGTGTTATACTGCCAAACAATCCTTTAAGCATAACTTATACTGGTTAGCACGAGCCTTATGTGGGAAAAATTATTGTCTCTAGTACAACTAGGTGTACACCTTAATTTACTACTAGCTTCAGTTCAATATTATATGCTAGTCTAACAGGCTACCAGCCTGACTTTAAACGAGCTATGAAACAGTATTTTCCTAGAGAGGGATTCACTTGACTTACTGGAAGATGTAAATATTGACTTACAGCTAGTATATACGTTAAATACTAAGCAGTGAAATTCGTCAGATTGCAAACTGTTGGATTGTTAGTTTGTAAGTACCAAAAACATGTTGAATGAACAAATTAGATGCCAAAAAACAACTTAGATTTGTAAACCGTGAGTAACATCCAGATTAAGATACGGTACCCATAAAACCGCGGTATTTTTGATTCTCTGAATGGGGCCTATACATATCGTCGTATGTCTTATTCTCCCACGTCGCCTTTATTCGGTTCAGCTTATCCCCTTGCGTCATTTGTTTGTGTTGCTTGTCTAAATTTGACGTTTGAGATTTTTCCGGTTTCCTGTGGTGGTTGCTGCCGTGCGCGTCAGATTTGTACCCACCGGCCGAGTTTTGGGGGAATGTGTTACCCAATTTTTTGGTTTCCTGTCCCAGATGGGTGGCTTTTTGGGATCGGGCTTCGGTGACGAACTTGACGAGGCTTTTGAAGGATTTCTCGGGCGGGATGGCTTTTTTCGAGCACTGGATCGATCTTAAAATAAACAAAATCGATTATGTTAGCCAAGTAGTGTAATTATAACCAAGTCAATATGTTAAGTGGCAAATAAAAGAGATAGAAGTATAAACTACATGTTGTTGAGATGAATTGTAACATTTTAAAATTCCATTTAAAAATGTTATTTTAATTGTGTGACATCCTGTATAAATTAGTATCAGATTGATTTACCATTTAATTATTGACGCTAGCAATATGCTTAGAGAGAAAAATTTCTCTAGGTGGGGATCTGGCTGGCTCACAATTTTAGAATCTTTTCATTAAAATTCATTTCTCATCTGATAACTTAAACTAACAGTTCATTGCCAAGACTGCAAAATATAGTGGTAAGTTTTAATGATGTCATTTTAAAAATATCTCAGTAAAAATTATATGTCTACTTATTTTTATTCTTATTTATTTTGGAAGTCAATTTAAAGTTATTAAATATGCTTTACTCATTTTGTGAGCTGAATTTACACATTGCCTATATTAATTAGTTTTTTTGTTATCTGGATTTAATTTAAAAAAAGTAAATGTTTAAAAGTTAAATTATATATCGTACAAGAGCCTCGTGAAAAGCAGAATTTATTTTTTGTTTAGGAAGCGAATGTAAGCAGTCTCTTACATTATAATTTTCTCCTTCCTATCGAAAATTCACTGCTAGATACTGCTAAATAATCAACTATAACAGAAACTATTTTCAAATTCTTCAATTGGATGTTTTGTAGCTAGAGAGGCTACCGAGGCCATCGATGATGGCGACATTCCTAACTTCGAAGATCTTCAGATATCTACATAGTGGTAATTAATTCACGAGGCTATTAAAAAACTATTGATTATGGTATAATAAGAGTTTTAACTTTATAGTTGTTGCTACCAGCATGATAAAAATCATTATTTAGAAAATTTCAGTATTTTTTATTTTTGTAAAATTATTCATGTCGTATAATTAAATAAACAAATTCATTTACTTATATGTTAAATCTTATTTTTTTAAGGTTACAACAAATCTCTTTTACTCAAATTAAATTTTATATAAGTTTTTATTATTTTTTTTTTGACAAAGCTAGAGTTTATAATTCTCACTAGCTTTCTAAAAATAAAAAAAGAAATTACTTGGCGCCCCTCTCTCCCAGAAAACTATTATCCCAAAGGTGTCTATTAGAAAAGCCAAATTCACGACTGAGAAAACTATATGGTCAATGTGCTCATTTCTTTTTAATTTGATTAAAGGTAAGTAATGTTTGGTGTTAAATTTCTATGAGCTAGTCAAAATTTCTCAAAAGTGTTTTGAAATTAACATTTTATTGTAAAGTAACGTCATTCTATTACAGAATATGCTGCGGTGGATGAGGGGAATCAAATAGAGAAATACCTAGTAAAGGAGTCGATACTAGATGAAACTTGCTTTTTCATGGACAATTTCTCCATTTGCGAGTTGGTGAAGGTAACCTGGATCTTTCTTCTTGCATCGCAAATTATCCTTTCTCTTTCTGTGGGCCACTCTTTGCTGTACACTCCGTATTTATGTTTGGGTATCTTGTCGGCACCATATTGACGCACCCTTTAACAAAAAAATGTTGCTATATTAAAGAAAATAAACAAAAAAATTAAATTAATAAAATTTTACTTACAAAATTACCTTGACTTTACCTGTATTGACTTCCCATTTTCCACAACCACGTTTCCAGCTTTTCTAACCACATCTGTTGCTGTCCTATTACCGAACCAGGTCTACAGAGTCGCATCCAAGCGATGGCTTCTCGAGCAGTTAACATATAGTGCTTGATAATGTACGCTCCTATCAATGAACCGGTCCTGCCTAGGCCAGCCTTCAAATAAATATGTATTTTTTAAAGAACCCGTAATAGCTGTCAAGTGTAACAGTCAACTAGGCAATTCAATGTCCTTTCAGAATGGACAAAAATGACAGATACTTGGCAAAAACAACCAAAATTTGTTAACCTGACTTCTTTATTAATATTTTACTGTAAATCATATAGGTATTCAAAATAAATATTAAATTATGCAATTTTTCAACTAAGCATCACAAAAAAATAATACAAACGTCACTAGAAGTGTTTTTGTCAAGGTAAACACGTAAATTTGTTGTTTTTGCCAATGGTCCACAAATAGGTAAAATGTTTGTATTTCGTGCAAACTTCAGAGATTGTAAGGTTACGTATATACGTAAATGTGAATAATTTTAATGCGCATGCGTAGCTGACAATTCTCACGTTAAATTTTACGTACATAACATCACTTCAATTCTCTTTTATATGGCCGTTCGTACTTCGAATTATTCAAAGAACTTGACAGCAATGACAGTACGCACTGAGTATATTTATGTCCTTTTTTATCGATATGGAGAAGAAGAAAGTGAGAATATACTCAGAACGCACCGAACATGATGGTGGGTGAGGTTTTCCGGGTTTTCCTCACCTGTAAGTCAAATGGCACCATCAATCATCTTTAAGTCGCCCCGGAGCGCCACGGCAAATAATAGACCTTTTCCCCGCACATGCTCAGCTTTTGGGGTTAAAATTCACTCGTAAGGACGTAAGAGGGTGAATTAGGGAGAGTATTATTATTCCAATGGAAAAGCCATTAAAACTTGATTAGTATAGCGGGCTGTCAAATATAAACCACTGGACACAGAAAAACTAATGATATACGAGTAAGACACAAATAGAACAATACACAATCGATCAAAATCATAGCCCACTAAAGATGCCAGTCTGGAAATTATTAATCTCATTTTCGTCTCAGATAAACAAATTAATAATAGATAACTAACGGTCGGGATTTGTTTGAAGTATGAACCCTTTTATTTATCCTGGGTCCTTGATGTGATTTGTCTGTTTTAAATAGCACAACTATCAGTAAGCACTTGGGAACTGTCAGTTATGTTTATACATTTAAGGTTATTTCGTTCGTCCCACTGATATAGGAATGAACTACACCAACGGACACTAACAGCCGTATGCATAGTCGATCGCCAGCGACTCGCCAGAGATTCATTTCGGCGCATCGCCAGCGGTCCACCGGCGAAAGCCCGAAAAAGTGGGGACTCGCTGGAGATTGTCACCGGCATGTCATTTCACGCAAGTTTTTATGTTCTTCTATAGGGAAAAATTGATATGCGTTCATTGTTTTTTGAGTTTTAAGAAATGAATCAATAATAAAATGCCAGAGATGCCGGTGATAATCCCCATAAAAGAACATGAAAACTTGCGAGAAATGACATGCCGGTGACAATCGCCAGCGGGTCGCCACCTTTTCGGGCTTTCGCCAGCGGATCGCCAGCGAATCGCTGGCGATACGCCGGAATGAATCTCTGACGAATCGCTGGCGATCGACTATGCATACCGGTGTAACTGTTTGCAGGTTTTTTCCATAATCAAAAAATTTTTTTTGTCATCATAGAACAACACTTTTTTGTCTTCATTATTAATGCCCAAATTATCAATAATTAGACTTTGTCGTATTAGGTCTTCTAGTTCCATGATTTCGTTATCGTTTTTATTTTAACAGTGCACAGAAAATTCAGGCTCGATTCTGTGTTTGATGTATGATATGTTACCATGAATTACCGACCCTAATTTGGTTCTGGAGACAACTGGGGAATTTGCTGGACCTTGAATTACCTCTCTAGCAATGGTTAGATCGATATAATCTTGCCCGATTAGTAATAATGGTTTGGATCAGCAATGGGAACTGGTGAAAGATGAGGCCATTTTATTGAAAGTTTTCCAACGTTGACAGACTAAGTGGGCAGATTTAAATTCGATACAATACAGACATTAGAAAGTTCATAAATGCTGTCATTAAGATTTCCCAGAATTTCTACATTTATTCTTCTTGGAAGGTTGTCTGTAAATGACGTTGAATTTGTCCAAAACATCTTCAAATGATCGATGTTACCTTCTACTCCCACTTCTTCAGCAAGACTACTAAATTATGTAATTGGTTCGGTAATATATTCTGATTTCTGAAAGAACTGGTATGTAATAAACGATTGTGGCACTTTTTGCAATCTGATATCCTGCACTTTCTCTTTTTAGTGCAATCATATAAAATAAGAGAAGCGTCAAGACATAAAAAGCAGATTTTTTTTCTTTACCCACTCCCATCTTTTGTATGTATTAAGAGCTAGGAAGCTTTTACATTTATAAATCGTATGACCAGGCGCAGGCTTTATACAATATGTACACTGCTGTTTATTTGAATCTTCTAATCCAAGAAAAACTATATTTCTGAGTTTTCGGTCTTGATATTTTTCTTGTATGAAGTTTGAAGATAACGGTTTGCATAATAAGCTAGCTGCCGACGATTTTTTATTCAGAAAATTCGATTAGTGTGGCACATTAATTTGCTGGTCCTTTACAACTCTTGCCCACTGAAATTGTAGGTGCTCTGGCAATTTTGAAAATAGGGCACTAATAAGTTGAGGGTTGTTGATATAGGGTCCCATTTTAACGACTGGAGCCGTAATAGAAAGATTGAACAGCATTTGACCAAATCTCATTTCTAGAGTGTTAAGGATACATTTTAAGTTGTCTGGAGAAACAAATAATGATTTTACTGCTTCAAAGACTTCATGTTTTAGTGCTTTTTGCAAACGAATCATATTTTCTTCATCGTTAAACCCACAAGTTTCTGTTGACCTTTTGAATAACGAAATAAACATGGGCCATTCCTCGACGTTGTCCCCAAAGTTTGGAAGTTCTTTCCCAAGAATATTTCTTAAAGACAGTTTAGATATATTTCCCAGTTGATTATTTTCAGATAGACCTTTAAACGCATTTGTCAGGCGTACAGTTGTTGAATAGACAGAATTAGTAAGCTTAGCAGTATTTTTAGGTTCATGTTGAATAATTTTTGAACTTTTTCAATAAAATATAGATTCTTCTTCTAACCCAGCTTTTACTTTTTCATGGACACATGGCATTTCAGTATATATTAGTCTTTCATTTGATTTAATGGAACCTTTAGAGCTATTAATTTTAACACCTGTGCTATTTATACTATTTTCTATTATCTTTTCGGCTTCTATTGATGCTTTGGCTTCTATAATACTTAACTTTCTTTCATATTCTCTTCGTTCAAACTTTCTCTGTATCTCCTGTTCTTGTTTCTGAAACTATATCTCGTTTAAGTCTTCTTCTCGCTGCAGCTGGTTTATGATTTTTATTTTAATTCTATTTCTTTTAATTTTTCACTGGTCATTGAATATATGGACCTCTTGGACTTCGTCGACGCTTTTGCACTTTGTTCGTATGGACTGTCCGGATATCTCAATGGCGTTATTCCTGTAGTAACCCTGCTGGATTTTCTTACGGCACCCTGTTTGTGAGACATTTTAGTTTCGCACTTTTCTCTCGGCCAAAATGAGAGCTACGGGGTCTAAAATGACTCTACAAGCGCTCGAAAGGACCAAAATATTTTGGGAAAAAATTAACTTTTTTCTTTTGACTTTTGTTGACAACATATAAAATTATATCTGACAACATTATTTTTACATACTATGATAAACAAAAAGAAGGTAATATTAAATACTAAGCGCCCAAACACCGTATATGGTAAAAAAAAATTAATTTATCACTTCAAGTGGTACCTTTAGGTATATAACGAAAGAGTAAATTGGATTTTTTGTGTTGTTGAGTTTCAGAAATATTAATTTCTCCTGATTTTAAAATTAGGACATGAAATGATTAAAACGGACCTGCAAATGCAGTTTGTGCGCAATCTCACCAGTACTCCTGTGACGTAATGCGCGAATTCAATTTGGCTTACTTTTGTCAATAGGGATTGTTCCATTTTAAATATACAGTTCACTGGTATCTACCTATAAACAATATTAACAGTGTAATCATTTGAAACCTAATTTTGTTTTATAAATATCGTTTATTACATTTGAATAAAAAATAGAATTTATTTTTTGTAAAATAAAATTTTATATTTGAGTTTCATTTTTCTTTAAATTTGTCATTGACAAAATATTTACAAAACCATCATTTGAATTCTGATGAAAAACTATTTGATACGCCCATGGAGATCCTGGCTTCAAACAATTATCATTGACAAAATATTTACAAAACAATCCTTCGAATTCTGAAGAAAAAACTATTTGATACGCCCATGGAGATCCTGGCTTCAAACAAAGCCTATGTTAAACGGTTCCCGTAACTCATCTATACCTATTTCATTTGTTTATCTGAGATTTTCGTACTAACAAAAATGGCATTATCTCGAAATTTACCTTACAGTGAACACCAATGGCAGCGGGCGCCATTTCAGCTATCGTCAAAAACTTCAACAAAATTTCTTTTGGTGGAGTCGAGCCATCGGGAAATATTAGATCGAAATGTTGAATACCAAGCTGAGTAAATCTAAAATACAGAGTGTTTTAAGCGCTTAAAATGCATTAAAAATTAAAAAACGGAAGGAATAACGTTTGTTCATTTAGTCGCTTTTTAAAACTCAACTTACACCTGAGGATTGTATAACGGATTATTCAGCCTGATAATAGTCTTCACGTCATTTTTAAGAAAATATTTAACGTAAAATTCCGGTGGATGAGCTGTGTTGTTGTCAGCGGGACCGATAAAAGCCAAAAATTTCCTGGGAAGCAACCAATTCATGTCGCCGTATTGGAGCTTGTTGTACAAATCGTATTCGACGACGTTGAAGTCGTCGAAATTGATAAAATTGTACGTCACTGATTTCTGCATGGCTTGAATGCAGTCCGGGACTTTTAGGTTAAATCCGCATATTTGCTGGGAGGCGTCCAAGTAGTGTCTGAAAATTTATTAAGAATTGTAACGGTAAATTTTAATTAAAAGTTATAGTTAAAGAAAATTGTTTACATTTTCTGTTTCTTTATTTGGACTAATCTCTTTTAAAAAATAAATTGTGTTTTTTGAGCGGAGCATAAAACAGATAACTTACTTATAAGGCCCCATTTCTTGCAAAATGCACCATATCTCTTTGGGATGAAAATTGAGATACATCACACAAAAACACCCCATCAAACAAGCAGCGTTTGTCTTTCTCTCAGGATTATCGCAAGTATAATGCACCACGCTTTTGGTACCATTAGCAAATTGAAGATATTTTTTCAGTTTGTAGCTGTACTTATACAAGCAGGAGATGTTCAAAGGACCAAAATCGTTGTAATAATTTTCATAAAGCAGTTCATCATCGATACAGAAAAACAACGTGGTAGCGTTGTTCTTTAATTTAACAATCTGCTTATCTTTGAGTACAGCGAAATACAATTGCTTGCTGAGGATTTCTACGTAGTTATCAACTTCCTTGGGGGTATTAGTGAATTTATCCATTCTTCCAGAAATATATTATTATGGAAATATCACACAGGATTTTTCGGCGTCCCTGCAGAAGATGAGATATGTCAAAAAATGGAGCGAGTAATTTACAAATATTGCCAAAATAAAATTTAATGCTTTGTGAGCAGTTTCATTCATCTTACGAATTTTGCTTTTTTATAAACTGACAACATGTCGGATATTGACTTGACAGTGATCGCTGGAGTATTTTTTTGGGTTTGATTGGATATAGTAGACTGTGATTTGTCGTTTTGGAACGAGTACCTAAGTAGTATACAGTAAGGATGTACAGGTTTATAGTCTGAATAAAAGAGGAGCGCAATAAAAGTGAGGATATAACGTCACATTCCATAATCGTACTTTGCAAAATAAGTTTCTATAATATAAATAAGGTCACAGCAAATAAAAATGTATACCTCTTCGTAGATTAAATTTTGAATGAAAAAGTTATATTATTTACAAAAAAAAATAAACCTTATCCCAGGAAACCAGCTGACGACATTTGTACGTCATTATTTGGTCACCACTGACATCAGGATAACTTCCAAAATGACGCCCGAATGACTTTATTATGACCTTCTAAGTCACAGACGAATGACGTCATATTACGACGTCAAATTGACGTTATGAGTTGACGTCAAAAGTACGTCTTACATGAAGGTAGTCTGACGTTTAAGGACGTCGAATTGATTTTCTGTAAAATTAATATTACATATTTATGACCAATTGCAGTAAACTTAATTAAAGTTAACCGTTTAAAGCCTTGGTTTCTCTGAACACTCCGACGCGGTGAGCGGACAGTCCATTGACCGTCGCGTTTTGACGATTTTATCTAACCAGAGTGTCTAGACATCAATTAAAATTTAACCAATGGTTAGCAACAATTAAGCTTTCTGCAAATAGCCAATAACCTAAAAATACTATAAATTTTCAAAAAAATTAGTTGTAATATTTATTGGTGTCAAAAACATGATTACTAATCTATGTTCATTTCCATTTGAATAAAATCGTAAAAATTACCATTTTCAATCCAAATTGAATATAGGTAAAGGATATAGTGGTGACAAAATGGACTTAAAAGCTTTTAAAACACATATTTATTAAAAATCGAAAAAATGGTAGCTGCAACAATGTCTACTACAAACAAAAATTCTAAAGTAGTGATAAAACACGTATTTACTAAAAATCACATCTTTCGCAAACTCCACAACATGAAACATTCTTGTAAATCACTTAGTAATAAGGTGCACTCACTATTAGGCATTCCAAACAAATGAATTACCAGTGGGCAGGTTTGGTATATCTAAGGGTGGCGACATATGGTGTATTCTATCTACTTTACGTAAAATCATGAATAATGGATTACATTTAAATATTTTATGTCAAACACAATAAAAATAATATTTAAAAAACCCATCTATACATTTCTTCATAAATTGGCAGGCTTGGCGAGTACTACTTCGAATAAAAATAGCGTCCAAGTTGCAAGACTATGTCGCTACCCCCCTTAAACATACAAGAATTTCCCACTGGCACCTATTGTTTGACAGGTCGTTGGAATGCCTAATAGGGACCGTGCGTCATGACTTTAACGCTAACTGGTGACAAAAATGTGAACTTTATGGGGGTATTTATTAATGTTTTATACGGTATTTATTGTTTAATAATTATTAATAAAATGAAGTCGAATTATTTTCGTAATATCAATATCGAAAAAACTTGTTGCATCCGTGGATGTACAAACACATCACTTTGGAAACCTGGATTTCATTCGATAGTAAAGAAATTTTATAAATTTCCACTGAGCACAATTATGCCTCACACCCAATGATATAATTACAAAGATTGCTTATCCATATGTAAATCAGACGACGAAAAGCGTATTTCACTGGGCAAAGTTTTCTTTTTATCTAGCTTGTATCAATTTTGAGCACTTAGTTGTAAAGAAATCATTTACAGAACCGGTTTAGAAATTAGAATCTTTAGTGTTTTCTTGTCATTACGATTTTTACATATTTAAATGAACATTTTATATAAATATCATTTTACAGATAATGGTTTATTCTGTTGATTAAAACTAATGTAGAATATGAAATAAGAATGTCCAATTTGACAAAAATATCACGGCCCTCTTTACAATTTATTAACTATTTCTCATTTATTATTAAAATAAACATCATAAATAATACATTGCAATTACTGTCAAAAGAGATTGTAACAAACTTTAAAATATTAAAAATCCAGTGTAAAAATCCAGTGTAAATTTTTTTAGTGACATTACCATTAAACATTATTCAGAATAATAGATGTGTCCAATTACAACTCTTCCCAAAGTTGTTTATACCTCATATCAAAATTGTTTACATTACCTTTTCAAAATTGTATTACATATTGCAATTATGTATTTTATGTAGAATTGTTTCTGAAATAGTAGTCTAAAATTATTTATATCTATCTGTTATAAAAATTGTTTAGATCTCTTAATATTATTTAACTACATGAAAACTCAACTTTCCAAATACATAATGACATGTCTTGAAGTAAAACTTTAATTATTTTCTTTTTCTAAAGATTAAAATGCTGAAATTTTATTTTAAAATACATTTGTGCTAGAACGGCTCTATTTAGTGAGCACTAGGAAAGGCACATTGCAACCCGCTTTTCATAATTTTTTTATAGATGGGTGAGCAATCTATAATATGTATCATTGAACATCTCATAAACGTCAGTGGATGAATGACATTTCGATTAGAGATGGCTGATCCGAGTATTTTCGTAGATCAGTTCTAAACTAGTCCAGTCCAGCATAAAACCTAGTCCAAGGGATCAGTTCCAGTTCCTAGTCCAGGCCACTGTTCGTGGAGTGTCATAGATCGTAATAGTTGTGGGTACCCGATTATTGATTTCTTTATTTACATTAAATACATATACAAGGCGGTCCAGCGAACTGGGTATATTCTCTATTATCTTTATCTCGTTCACTAGTATACATATATCCATAGAACATAAATAGCGGAGAAATTGTAATGCCGTCTCGTTTTAGATATAAATGATGCGTTCTTATCTGCAACATCCTGCTCTTTTAGATCCGTTCTCATCAAGCGCTCAGAGGCTTCTGCTAGGTTCTTGTTTCGTAATGCGTCTACTTTATCGGTAACCGCTTGACGTGAACTAGGACTTGTTTTAAAAATCTATTTGGATCAGTTCCACTAGTCCAAGTTACTGGACCTGTTATGAAGTATCAGTTCCAGTACCAGTTAGCCATCCCTAATTTCGATTAACATAAAGCTAAAAAGATTTATAATTATTATTATCAATCTTTTTTATTAATTTACATTATTTAAATGTTATTGTAATACTTTTAAATTCAGTGTTACTAAATACCGATATTTTAACATTGGATACACTTGTTTAAGGTACAACTTTACAATTTATTGTCACTTAGAGCCGATTCCACCATGTGTTAAACAGAGATTAAAGTGACATTGTTAATGTAAAAATGTCATTTTAAACTTCGTTTAACACAACGGTGGAATCGGTCCTTAGCCATTTAAATCTTTTTGCTTAAAATGTATATGCATGTCCAGATTTTAATAATGTTTCACATTTTACGTCTCATTTTGACCATGTACACGATTGTTTGGTACGGGCCGGTATCTATTTTTAACTATATTTAATATTTAAAAAAATACCCTTTATTATTTACTTGCAATGTTTACCCCATTTAATTCTAAAATTAAACACTAGAGAGGGCTAAGTTCGGCAGTAGTGCTGCCTCTATATTTCACGCACGGTCCCTATTATAGGGACGATTGAACACGGCTTTAAATTAATAAATAATAGTTATTTTTTCGTGTGTTGTATCTATATATCTATAGCAGCAAAAGCAACAAACTTTAGAATAAGAAAAAACTCTGGGGCTGTCAAGGATTACTTTACAAACAAAAAAATATACAAAAATGAGAAAAATAAAAAACAACTAATTTACCTAACACTGTTTTTACTCTTAGGAAAAATGGCGTGGATTACACACACATGAGTAATTGAAGTTATAAAAAATTGTTACTGATTGTTACTTCAACTCACTGACCACTTTCAAAACATATACTATGTGGTGGGAGGATAGACGAACATGATCGAACAACATAATCCGTTTATGATGCGAAAAATACCTTATGTAGATAAGGGTCCTATGATTGAACGTTTACGTTAAGTTTAACACGAATCTGTTATGTTATGCTAACAGGGAATAGATAACGTACGAAATAACAGTAGGTGTCATATCCGTATGATTGAAGTAGTCGATAACAGAAGATGTTGAGCTGGCTGTTATGAATGGAAGAAAGTATTTATTTGCGTTATTGCGCGTGCGTACAAAATGTACCTAACTTCACTTCATTTCTAAAAATGACTAAAATGAGGTTTTTCATGTTTTTCTGAATGAAAAAAAAAAAACAACAATTAGGTTAGAATTTTTTGTAGTTCATTTTTCAGTTTTATTTAATTTTTTATGGCGAAAAGATTAGCTAAAACAACTTTGTAATAGTATGAGGAACTACATAATTTTGTTAGAAAAAACAAAATTATTCTCACGGGGAAAACAAATATATTAGATAAAAAAAAATCAAACCTTTGGCTAGTATTTGCAAATCATATAATTTAAAAACAAATTCAAATATACTAAGAATTCAGATAATTAGCAATATAGGTATTAGATAATTAAATAATAAACAAATAAAGTGGTAACATATAGACGTTGGACACTTAACGGCATGTTATTCGAGGCTGTTGAGGCGATACGTTAAATTAGAACATAACAGGTGGAAAATAACAGTAACGTGTTATGAAAAACTTTACATCATACGAATTTGGCACGTTGCTGTTAGAACTCGGCCTAACATGTACGTTACGGATAACGTAAACGTTCAATCATAGGACCCATTGGGTGCTATGATTGAACGTTTACGTTATTCGTAACGTACATTTTAGGCCGAGTTTTAACAGTAATAAGGCGAGTTCGTATGATGGAAAACTGTTAAATTAGAACATAACAGGCGGAAAATACCAGTTGTTGTAAATAAGTTGAACTCACCTTGTATTTTATAATTTTTGAGTTACCCTCATATTTATTTTGGATAGGTGTGACATCAATTTTTATAGAATTGTCAG